GCGGAACCCCCATTTCGTCAACCCGTTAGTAGGGATTATAGGAAGAACGAAAGCCAATTTGACTCGACCAGTTCAAGTGATCGTAGTACACCGAATTCTCCTAAATAACTGGAGAACCAAAGTTCCAATGGGAAGATGAGTCTCAAACAACTACTGAATGTGTGTAGGCTCCAAATCTTCAACCACAAAGGATAACTCAAAATCTATTAACTTCGGTAAAATTAGCGTTGGGAAGCGCAATTCCCATAGCTTAAGTTTGAAGCCTGAATGGGTGTAAGGGTCGGATCCAACAAGCCCAAATATGGCCGGATCGCTAGCAGCTCCATCTACTCAACATGTCATAAGAAAGGCCGTAGTAGATGAACCCCCATCTCAGCAACCCAAGGACGAAGAGCTATCAAATCTTAGCTCGCTTGATATGATGAACTCAAGTGACTCAGATTAAAGTATCCTCATATGGTTAAGGATTAAGATACTACCCATATTTGGTATTATCAATTAAATCCAAAATCTTCAAATTCTTCAACAAATTCATAAAGCATAAAGCGAGGATCGAATGAACTTTTCTTCAACAAGTCCGCTAAAAGCACAAAGCAAAGGACTAAAAAAACTATCCCAAAGTTCATGAAAAGCCTTAGGCTGAATTAGGAGGATTCTGTTATCAACAAGTCCGTTATGAGCAAAGCTCTGGCCCGATGACTCCTGGCCACGGACCTAGCATGAACCTAAAAGGTTTAGGTCACTGGCATCTATCCCTTCAACAAGCCCGCCAAAGCAAGAAGCATAGGGCCAAAGGAACATAAATCTCCTGAAAAATCACTATTGATAAATCAGGCAATCCTCCATCAATGTCCGTAGCACAAAGCATAGAAAGAAGGAGTCAAAGTTTCAGGACTCAAGCCAAAGCCATGGAAAGAGTACCCTGGATGACATCTACAAATGTCCCTAAATTCTGGGGGCATTTTAAATATTTATTTGGGTCGAAATCGTACTGCATGCCGAGATCCCCAAATAGATATTTAAAATTTTAATAAGATACAACCAGATGATGAAAGAATGTCAAGCAGATACAAAAATGTTGGAAACTAAGGAAGTAGTGATGTAAAAGGAGAGCTTAAGGTGACGATGCTACCCACTAGCATCAATCTACAAAGTGATGCTCTAGAGACCTAAGTATGAAGTACTCTATCACTATCCCGTAGATCTCTACTTAACCAACAACAAAAATATCAACTATACTAAAGATTACAAATGCATCTAGAGATCCATGAAGGAATGAAGATCGATTCTTGGAGATCCACTAAATGGAGATCTTAGTGTGACATCTAAGAAAACTTTTGGAGATCCACTAAATAGAGATCTTAGTGTGACATCCAAGAAAACTTTTAGAGATCCACTAAATGAAAATCTTAGTGTGACATTCGAAGAAACTTTTGGAGATCCACTAAATGAAGCACTTAGAATGAAATCCAAATGTGATTTTGAGAGAGCTATAAGAAGGAAAGCTTCTATGTGACATCGAGAGTAAATATCTGGAGATCCATAAGGTCAATCAGCATACAATAAACGTGATTCGCTCTAAGCGCATATCACATTTATTGGGGCATTTATTGACCTAAACAATAAAAAATCCACGTAATCCTTAAATTCGGTCGAGAAAGAGGAAGAAATCTCGCTTACCTGCAGAACAGCGCCGTTGGCATCGCTTCTCTGCAATTCCTGCAGAAATTTTGTCGAGCAGTACTCTTTTTGCATCGTTAAATAAGAGCTGAAGCCTGTTCTTCTTGGCTGCTCCACACACCCCAACATCTCTCTCCCGATACCTCTCCTCCGACTTCGCTCAGCCCGATGACTTTCCCTCCCTGGTCGGATCGGAAGTCACGTAGTTTTGATCGGAAGCATCAACAGGAACTCGTTGGTGAGGAAGGTAACTTTCTCCCCCCTGCGCGCTTCTTCGGCTTGTCCCTGGCCGAACCAGAGAGGAAGAGAGGGGGAGTGATTTTTGTTTTATTTATTACTATAATTATTATTTATTTTTTTAATTATAATTAATTTAAAAAATAATTATAATTAGTTATAAATTAATTATAATTTTATAATTAGA